ATCTTACAAGTGTCTTTCATCTTTCCCCAAGTCAGCTAGGATATTTAGGATTTATGGAATGTACAAATCAATTAGAGGAGAGTTGATACTTTTACTATATTATGTCTTGTCATCTATGAATATGATATATGCCATTATAAAATAATACTTATTAATACGTAGATAATAATATAACATATTATTATATACAATAATAATCATTATTGGATGTTTTCTGGTATATCATTTAAAAATTTTATTTTATAAGTTAACATACAATGAAATTAACCTTTATCTGTTTGATAAATTTTAAAATACAGATTTGGGTAACTATCATGACTATCAAATTAAAGAAAACTCATAAGCTTAAAAATAAAACTAAACACCTACTCCTGCTGTCATATCACTAACAAAATTAGTTCCCTTTACAACCACTGATCTCTCTGTTCTCAGCTATTATTATAATTTTAATTTTTTTCCTTTTGAGACTGTCATGTAATGGAATGAAATGCATGTTACTCTGAAGCTGACTTTTTCAGTCAGCAAAACGTCCGTTAAGATTTATCCAAGTTGGGGCCCAGCAGTTAGTGTAATGGCTATGTTGCTGGACTCCCATGTAGTCAACTGTGGTTCGAGTCCTGGACCCAGTGGCTTAAACTCATGCTAGGCGCGTGTGCGTGCGTGGCCAAGATCCTGAGAGGAGAAAGGAGGAGAAAAGGTTGCGGCATGGCCATTCCCCTGGGGGAGGGGTTATTTCTCACTTTCTGTCTCTCTGGTGAGCGCACGCACCCTATAGCAAAAACCTCTCCAAAAAAAAGATTTATCCAAGTTGTAACATGTACTAATAATTCATTTTGGGCCAGCCCTAGTGATTAAGGGAACCAGATCCTCTATGCCTGATTGACATTCAAATCCTATCCCCAGCTCCCTAAAAAACACACCAGAAACATGTGCATTCCTGACTCAAATCCTGACAGGATAAAGAAATGAAGGAGAAGGGATTGTGGTGTGAGCATGCAAACTGGGGATGCTCCTTCTCCATCTCTATTTTTTCCCTCTCTCTCACCATCTCATTCACCCTTTGGCAACTAAAAAAATATATTTACATATATGTATGTGTGTGTGTGTGTGTGTGTGTGTGTGTATACAGAAAGCGAGAGAGAGAGCAGGAACACTTTGTATACAGAAAGAGAGAGAGAGAGAAGAAAAACATTTTTTTTTTTTTTAATTTGTTCACTGTAACCACACGGTCTGTCTATACCATAGTATGTTTATCTATTCATTCATTGACTTGCATTAGTGTTGTTTCCAGTTTTTTGGAGTTTATGAATAGGTCTGCCGCACACAATTTTATAGAGATTTTATGTGTGAACATATGTTTTTATTTCCCTAGGCTAAACACCTATTGGCAGGACTGCTGGGTAATATGGTAAGTATATGTTTAACTTTATAAGTGGTTGTGTAACTCTAACAACCTTCATAAGAAATTTGGAGTGGCATTTTATATTCCTACAAGCACTTCTTGAGAACTCCATTTACCCTGCATCTTCGTTCTTACCAGTATTTTGTTATTGTCATTAATTTGGTTGTAAGCTTTTTGTTTGAGGTCTTTCTGAGGGGATCGTTTGTTCTGGGGAGAGTTTTTTGTTGTTGTTGTTTATTTGCTTGTTTGCCTTTCTAAAAAGTGTTCATTGGTATCTCCTTGTGGTTTTAATTTGCATCAGGCTAATAACCCATGGTGCTGAACTTATTTTCATGCGTCTAGTTGATTTCCATAATGTTTAATTCCGCAAAGCGGTTGGAGGGGGTGTTTGTTTTCTCACTATTGATTTCTGAGAAACTTTATGTACTCTGGATACAAGTTTCTTGTCAGATACTTAATTTGGATATTATTTTTTTCTGAGCCATTAGTTTTTTTGTTTGTTTGTTTGTTCTTAGTGTCTTCTGCATAGCAAAAATTTTAAATTTTTTGTAGAGTCAAATTTACAATTCCTTTTTTTAATAGATCATGCTTTTAGTTTCATATATAGGAAATCTTTACCTAATCCCACGTTATAAATACTTTAATCAATATTTTCTTCAAAAAGTTTCCAATTCATATATTTTGTTTGCTTATTTCCAGAGAGCATATGTCCTTACTGGATAGAGAGATGGAGGGACAGAGAGAGAGGAAGAAATCATCCTCTCACGTGAGTATGACCACACGCAATTCCTTCTCCATTTCTCCAACTTGTCAGAATTTGGGGCCAATGTGCTCACATATATGGCCGGTCTTTCAAGACATCAGGGCTAGGATTTTAACTGCACTGCACTGTCAGCCATGTGGTGTCTGATTCCCTTAACCACTGGAACATGGACCTGATCATCATATATTAAATTTAGACTGAAACTTCTTGAGTTAATATTTTTTGTTTTATTTCATTTTTTAAGGTTTTTGCTACAGGATACATTGCTTCCAGAGGGAGACAGTGAGAGAGAAAGTGAAAAATCACACACACACACACACACACACACACACACACACACACAAACAAACACTTTGGGAGGATAGCCATGCTGAAATTCCTTCTCCTCCATTCTCCTGGGTTCTTGGGTGCTAATGCATACACACACCCAGTGTGATTTTCAAGCTTCCCAATCCTGTACTTAAACCAGTCAGCCATGTGGGAGTCCAGCACCTTAACCACCACACCATCTGCTGCCCCACGTTTTGTGTTAATTTTGTATAAGGTATGAGGTTTAGTTCAAAGTGAAGTTTTTTGTTCATTTGTTGTTGCTTATAGAAGGATATCCAGTTTTTCCAAAACTCATTTATTTAAAAAACTAGTATTTATTTATTGTTTACCTTTGAATTTTTGTTAAGAATCAATTTGTCCTCATATAGACACAGTGGTACAAGCAGGTAATTTCCACTGTAGGGTTTCTGAGGCCACGTGGGAAGCCCCATTAGGTTCCTAGCCCAGCCAAAACAGATCAGGTCCTATCTAACCGGGATGCTTGAGCAGAAGAAGGGTGACATGAAGTGACACTATCAAAAATGCCTCTCTCCCTCTCTCTCTCTCTCTCTTCTTTATTCTAGTGTACTCTTTCTTGCTCTTAAAAAATTTAATTTTCCTTAATGGCGTGAGTTTACTTATAGACTCTCTATTCTGCAACATTGTGCTATACTTAACTCTGCATTTTGCTCACTATTGATTATTTCAAATTCTCAGTAAGTCTTAAAATCATATAATGTTATTCCTTTACTTTAGTCCTCAAAATCGTTTGCTTAATCTAGTTCCTTTGTCTTTCCTTTAACAATGTAGAACCAGCTTGCTTAAATCAAAAATAAAATTCTGTTAGAGTTTTGATCAGAATTGTGGTATCATAATTTCTACAAAATTTTATTATAAATTATACAAACATACACACACACAGAATTTGGGATAGAATTGACATCTTTACTTTGTGGAATCTGTCCATCCAAACCATATTACATGTCTCCATTTATCTAGACCTTTGATTTCTTTCACTATTACTTATAGTTTTAGGTGCTATTCATATTTAAATGTATTCTTTTTTGAGCTATTATAATTATTCTTTTTAAATTTCACTTTGCAATAATTAACTGCTAGTAATATAGTTTTTATATATTTGTATTGTGTCTTCTTACCATGCTACAATTACTTGATTAAGAGTGTTTTGAGTTTTTTTGTTTATTTTCTAGGATTCCTTAGAATTTTACATAGATAGTTATAACATCTACAAATAAAGAAATTTTATTTCTTTCTTTACAATCCCTATTCCTTTAAAATACTTTTTTTTCTCTTTCTTTCTTTCCATTTTTTGTTTTACTTCACTAACTAGGATGTCTTGAGTAGTTGAGTAAGAGAGGAGAATTAATATTCTGGCCTTGCTCCCATTACATGGGGAAAATTGTCCAGTCTTTACTATCAAGTTTGCAATTTTAAGGTAATATATAGTCTTTTTATCAGTTTGTGAAAGTCTCCTTGTATTATTAGTTTGCTAAGTTTATATACTGAATGCTTTTTTTGGCATAATTTGATAAAATAGGTGACTTATTTTTACCTTCTACTGTATACATATAACAGTTATACTAATTTTTTTTCAAGTTTTTTGCCATAGGGCATGTGTGCTCACTGGACAGAAATGGAGAGAGTCAATGAGAGGGGAAGTGATAAATCACTCCCTATGGGAGATGGCCATGCCACAATCCCTTCTATTCCATTCTCCTCCTGGGATTTTAGGCAGATACGCATACATATCTGTTTTGATTTTCAGGCCACTGGGCCTGGGACCTGAACCATGTTAGGGTCATGTGGAAGTCTAGCACTGTAACCACTATGCCACCTGCTGGCAAATACACTAATTATTTAAAAATATGGCACCAATACTCCATTTTAGGAATAAATACCACCTAAATTATGGTTTTTATATAATGCTGATTTTGGATGTTAATATTTGTTGAGAATATTTTTATCTCTATCTATCAGTGTTATTGACTTGACCAGTCATTCTGATAGCTGAATATCAACATACTGCTGGCTTCATAAAATAAGTAAGAAGGTATTCCCAACTATTCAATTTGCTGAAAGAGATTTTTTTTTTTTAAGACTTGGTCATGTTTCCTATTTAAATACTTGGTCCTGTACATTTCTGTTTTATAATAGTTTTAACTACATATTCAATTTCTTCACAACTTATAGGATTTGTACATCACACAACTGAATAAATATTCATAGTATTTCAATATATGCCATTTTATATTTTTAATATCTGTGTAGTTTATAGTAATGTCACTGTTCTCCATGGTGATAAATGGCATCCTATCTTATTTTTACATAGTTGCATAGCAATTTGATCAATGTTATTTATTAAATCTAAGAATAATCTCTGACTCCATCAACCTCTTACCTTAGTTTTCTATTTCACTCATTTTTTTTGCCTTTCTATTTCCTTCTGTTTAGATACTCTCACTTTTACTTTTCACATGCATGTTGCTTAAAACATCAAAGGTGACTATGAGAAATCACACAGCAATAACAACGTTCATCTTGTTGGGACTTACAGATGACCCACGGCTACAAGTTCTGGTTTTCATCTTTTTATTTCTGACATACATTCTGAGTGTAACTGGAAACCTCACCATTATCATCCTTACCCTCACGGATTCCCATCTTAAGACACCTATGTATTTTTTCCTTCGAAACTTCTCCTTTTTAGAAATCTCATTCACAACAGTCTGCATTCCCAGATTCTTATACAGTTTATCAACTGGAGACAATACCATCACTTACAGTGCTTGTGCCAGTCAAATTTTCTTTATTGTAATCTTCGGAGCCACAGAATTTTTTCTTCTGGCTGCCATGTCCTATGACCGCTACGTGGCCATCTGCAAACCCCTTCATTACACAACCATCATGAGCAGCAGAGTCTGCACCATCCTTGTGCTCAGCTGCTGGGTCTCTGGGTTGGTGACTGTCATCACACCACTTGGTATGGGCCTCCAACTTGAATTCTGTGACTCCAATGTCATTGACCATTTTGGCTGTGATGCAAGTCCCCTCCTAAAGATCTCGTGCTCGGATACATGGTTGATAGAACAGATGGTTATACTTGTGGCTGTATGTGCTCTCATTATTACGTTGGCCTGTGTGGTTCTGTCCTACTCATACATAATCAGAACAATTCTGGGATTCCCCTCTGTTAAGCAGAGAAAGAAGGCCTTTTCCACCTGCTCATCTCATATGATTGTGGTTTCCATCGCCTATGGGAGTTGCATCTTCATCTACATCAAGCCTTCAGCAAAGGAAGAGGTGGCCATAAACAAAGGAGTTTCAGTTCTTACCACTTCTGTTGCGCCCTTGCTGAACCCCTTTATTTACACTTTGAGGAACAAACAAGTGAAACAAGCTTTCAATGACTCTATAAAAAGAATTGCATTTCTCTTAAAGAAGTAGAAATTTTAATGCATCAGGATAAAATGAAAGAAAACAACTCCCTAAATATTTTCTTACTGCCTCTAACTTACTTCTTGCCTAGCAAACGGTCAGAATAATCTTAATGGTATTAAATATTGCATCCTGACCTCACTTTTATCAAAGTCCTTAATCTTTTTTTTTTTTTTGAGGGGTTTTTGCTTTTGGGGATTGTTGCTCGCCAGACAGACAGAGAGAGTGAGAGAGACAGAAAGTGAGATAACACCCCCTCAGGGGCAATGGCCACCTGCAATTCCTTCTTCTCTATTCTCCTACTGGGATCTTGGGCATGCATGCACACACACCAGACATGAGTTTAAGCCACTGGGTCCAGGACTCGAACCACGTTCAACTACATAGGAGTCCAGTGACATAGCCCTTACACTAATTGCTGGTACCTAAGTCCTTAATCTTTCATACCAAACTTCTATATGATATTTTCTCAGTGCAAACTTAAAAATATAGTTTCAATAAATTAGTTTTTTCTGTTCTTTTGAACTGATCTTTTCTTGATTAGTCTTATGATGAGAGAAAAAGAATAATATACAAAATGTTTATATTACTTATAAGATAATATATGTAGTAGTAATAGTACTAGTTTTTTCCTCTAATACATTAACAAAATTAACATCGAAAATTTAAGAATCAAAACAAAAAATAGAAAACAACAGTTTTTTGTTTTTTTTTTTTTTTTTTTTTTAAGAACTTAAAATAAGAGAGAGATTTAAGGCCAAAGAAGTGAGAAATAAATAAAATAAGTGAGAAAGGTGATATCAACAGCAGTTGAAGAATTGAAGAAATAGAAAAATCTTCATAATAACTGATATGCTACCTTAGCTATTTCTTTATTTTATATGATAGTGGTACTTTACTTAAAAGGTATGTTTAATTTAAACTATATAAACGTGACACTTAAATTTATTATGCATTACAAGATCAGAACAGATACATAAGAGGGAATTAAATGCCAAAATTTATGTGCTAAGGAAATAAGATAAAGTTTTACATGAACACAAAGGTAATTAAAAGATTTAGGATGCTATTGACAATATCAAAACAACAGAATAAAGAAAACAAAGAAATTACAAATGAGAATGAATACTGAAATTAAGATCCAGGGGACACTCAAAGAAAATATTCAAAACTCAAAGGGGATACATTTTGTAGTTATTAATATAATAGCTACTAAAATATTATAAGTATTTTATTGTATTTCAATGAAAAAGAAATAAAAAATTAGCCTCCATGGATAATGTTCTTTCTTTTTTAAATTATTAACTCTGAAATAATCCTGTACTTTAACAGACTAAAAGGACAACAACTAAATTGTTAAAAAAAAACCTAATTTTAAATAATTTATATTAAATTAAAATCTCCTGGACAATTTATTTTAATGCAGTCTTAGAAATAGCAGTAAAATATTCTTTCAAATCACTTCTCTTTCAAATTATTTCTAATTATTGATATAATTTTTATAAGAACTGACATTACTGAGCTACCAATGGTGTGCCAAATTTCTTGTAAAAGTGATTATTAATGCCCTTATTCATCCTGTATATATGTTTTCATCGTGTCAGGCTGTCTAAAAATCATCATAACATATGAGAAAGAAAGTGAGAAATCACCCCTCTTCTACTCTCCAGATTTGGGGCATGCATGCATGTGTGTGTGTCTGCATGATTTTCAAGCCACCAGGTCTGGGATCAGTCATGGGAGTCCAGCACCTTAACCATCACACTGCTTGCTAGCCCCAAGATTTTATGTTTTGATAAGGAGAAAAATGAGATAAAATTACAGTTAGCATCTTCCTGGCAACCTTAAAGTGCTTCCCTTATCAGCATGACCTCATAAGTATTCATCACAGTAGCATCCTTTACAGAAATTGCCACAAGAATCATCTGAATTGGGAAACTTATACAAGAGACTTTCAAAACTATTCATTATTATAACAGTGAATGCAAATATTATGTTTATTTAGAAAATATTAAATAATCTTAAAAATAAATTATTTCATATGGAAACTGTATTAAACAATATGTAAGTCAAAATAAGAAAATTGAGGGCATTGATATATAAAATCGAAGCACATATAGGAGTCGGGGCAAAGAAACTAAGCCAGGTAACATTGTTCTATTCTTTTTTACATGTTCATTTTAACTACTATATCCACACAGTAATGCAAAACACTGATCATTAATCATTAATATTAGAAATTTTTGAAATTTGACTCTTTGCAAAATGTACTGTTCTTTTAACCTGAGGGTATAACATAGGGAATATAACAGTATTAAATAAAAGAAAGGACACAACTTTATTCAGCAGTTGCTTCAAATAGGATGAAAATTCACATCCTGTAAGACCAGTTTACACCATCACATTTGTTTAAACAGCTCTCAGGACTGTGTTATAACATTCTGGCTCCAAAGTAAATCCTCAGTATTAGGACACTGGGGTTGAAATTATTTAGATATCCTAATTATTGCCATCCTATTAAGCCCATGCTAGCTACTGTAATATTGTAAAGTCTGATCTGTTAGTTAAACAGACTTAATGTTAAGGCAATAAATACTAGGACCAACGGGTGACATGGTAGTTGGAGCACTGGTATTCCACCTGGTCAACCATGGTTCAAGTCCCAGACTTGGCGTCTTGCTTTTTCACTTTCCCTCTCTCTTTCTCTGTCTGGTGAGTTCATGTGCCCTACAGCATAATAATAATAAATAAATAAAATTTAAATAAATTATTTAAAAAAAAACTAGAAATATTTCTAGAGATAACTAAAGATCTCATATAATACGGTCACTTACATATTAAGACATACAAGTCTTGCATATGTATTTTCATCATAAAACATCAACAGACATAAGGTAAAGATCCACAAGATAAGAAGAGAAATAGAAAAATCCACAATCGCAGATGGAGATATTTTTGAGGAGGGTAATTTCTGGTTTGCATATAATTGTTGCACATCTTTTAGTGGTACACTATGGATTCTTAAAGATGTATACAGTGTGTAATAATCAAATTAAGGATGCATGGGTTCTGGTGTTAAGAATTTTTTTCCCCTAATACACCCCACCATCCCAGTGCAACCATTAGTATCTACACTTATACTATTTTTATACTATCAAGCCCTTTAGTTTTCATGACAGAGTGAGAATACTTGATATATGTCAAATTGGGACATACAGTATTTTTCTTTTCTTGTCTGACCTGTTTCACTTATCACGGTATCTTCTGGGTTCATCCATTTTAAGTCAAATGCATGGAGGTCATTGTTCTTTATGGCTGAGTAATATTCCGTTATGTACATGTGCCACATATTTTTTTTATCCATTCATCAGTTGTTGGACACTTAGATTGATTCTACATCCTAGCTACTGTGACTAATACTGCCATAAGCATGGATGTGGAAATGTCTCTCAGAGAGTGTGATTTCTTGACCCTGGAGTATATACCCAATACAATACAATTATCAAGTCAAATGGTAATTCTATTTATAGATTTATAATTGTTTTCTACAATTGCTGTACATGCCACCAGAAGTGCAATAACTTGCCTTTTTCTGTATCCTCATGGGCACTTCCTATATTTCTTTTTGTATGGGTAGTATGATAGTCATTCTGACTGGAGTTAGGTGCTACCTCATTGTGAATTTCATTTGTATTTCCCCTATGAAAAGAGACATGGGACATTTTTTCATGTGCCTTTTAACCATCTCTATATCTTCTTTTGAGAGTTATCTGTTCACATTCATAGATGATTTTTAATTTGGATTATTAGATGTTTTGTTGGTGAACTGTTTTGGTTCTTTATACATTCAGATTATTAACCTATTATCAGAAGCATAGTTTGCAAATATTTTTCCCATTCTGTGAATCATCTGTTAATTTATTGTGTGTTCTAGCAGTGATATAATCCTGCTTGTCTATTCTGTAGCTAGCTCATTTGGCTTCTTCAAAGTCAATTTAAGGTTTTGACATTTTGCGACCAACTAGCTAATGTTCTATTATTTTTCATAACTATTTTTAAGGTAAAATTTGTATCTGGTAAAATGCACAAATATTATTTATCCAAATATCATGAGTTTTTGCAAACATGAGCTATATCCTTATTAATGGTCAAAATTGTCAAGTTTCAGACATCAATCTCAGGTTTCTACTTTGAACTATGAATTATTTTTAATATCTATTTTAAAAATGCCAATTGTAAGGACCCATATGCCAAGAGACTTTAATTTAAAAGAAATTTTCTCGATGGCGGGTGAGCCTCAGGCTCCTTGGCAGAGTTTTTTTTTTTTTTTTGGAGAGATTTTCACTGTAGTGCGTGTGCCCTCGCCAGACAGACAGAGAGAGACATAGAGACAGAAAGTGAGAAATCACCCCCCAGGGGGGATGGTCACGCCGCAATCCCTTCTCCTCCATTCTCCTCTCGGGATCTTGGGCACGCACATGCGCCCGGCGTGAGTTTTAAGCCACCGGGTCCGGGACATGAACCGCCGTCGACTACGTGGGAGTCCAGCGACATAGCCATTACGCTAACTGCTGGTTCCCTCCTTGGCAGAGTTTTTGAGCTCACGCTCGCTGAAGGGGTTGGAAGTCAAGGCGAACTCTAGCGGGGCAGTAGGAGAAAAATGGCGGTGGAGTCTCGTTACCCAGGAGAAAATTAAGAAGGAACCGGGAAAGCCGATAGACTCGAAGAAGACATGCCCTCTCTTGCTGTGGTTTTTCACCATCAAAAACGGTTGCCCCTACCGAATGGACGAGTTTTCCCGTGGAAACGTACTGTCCAGCGAGCTGCAGATCTACACTTGGATGGATGCAACCTCGAAAGAATTGACTAGTTTAGTAAAAGAAGTCTACACAGAAGCTAGAAAAAAAAGGCACACTCTTCAATTTTGCAAGTGTTTTTACAGACCTTAAAAGACCCGGCTATCGCGTTAAGATTGGCAGCACCATGTCCGTCAGAAAGGGGACTGATGA